TAGATAGATAGATAGATAGATAGATAGATAGATAGATAGATAGATAGATAGATAGATAGATAGATAGATAGATAGATAGATAGATAGATACTCTTTGAAATTGCAGATAATGTTTATGATTAAAAGAAAATTTGCTGAGTTACCCCCACCCACCCCAAAGTATCACACTGACTCTACAAAACCAAGGTCCTGTTTTGTCCCCAGGCAGTAGGAAGCATGTCATTGATGGAAAAGTCCTGAGTCACTATTTCCTGGATGGAAAATAGGGCTTGCAAATGGTGCTATAAATGTGGGCTGAACTATGTTTCACACTAGTGTCCCCTTTGAGTAAAAAATGTATTAGTTTATTTTACACCTCTCAAGAAAAAAAAGTAGTGACTTAATTTTGCCAAGAAAATATCCAAAACACACACACAAAAAGAAATCTGAAAGAGAATCTGTTGTCAATCGGCTGTTAATGCCTCTGATTTTCTTGTGAGATGTATTTTTTTTCTTTAAAGGTGTCAGCCAAAACGTGAACTCAACTCAAACACATGCKCCTTGGTCATTTTTGTTTAAGTAAATTCCTGACCTCACTTGGCTACAGAAACTCTTCCAGCGCTAAACTTTTCACTTGTGCTTCACCCTTCTGCAGTATTTCTCCTGGGAGTTGTGGGCTGTCAACATGAAGACCAAAACCCCAACTTTGTTCTTAACCACACACACACACTCAAGAATTAAATATAGGGCTAAACATGAAGGGGTATACAGACAGAGATGCAAATAGAAAAAAACATGCATCACATCTATAAATGAGACATTGTAAGCAAATGAAAGAAGTCATACACACTGTTTATAACACCAACACACAGAGGGATTTTAAGAACCAAAGAATAAAGAAGCTTTACKTTTATCTGAGAGAGATGTAAAGAAACAAGGTCAGACACATGAAAGCAAACAGTTAAAGAGCCAAAGACAAAAGGAGTAAAGGTGAGCAAGAGTTCAGTCTGACACAAACAAACACACCGACGCACCTGTGCATCACAGGAACATTACACATACCTTTGATGGTGCTGACGACCTGCTCCAGGTGTTTGCTGTTGTTTCGGTCCGGCCTACAACTCGGGCTGATCTCCAGCGAGTAGTCTGGTCCGTATTCTGTAAAAAACTACCACACACACAGATCTCATCACACACTTTGGCTTATTTTGTAAGAAAATAAACAAAATAAACTCTGTTTTATCCCCACACTGCAGTGAAGCCAAAGTAGAAATTCCTTTTTTTTWTTTTTTAAGTGTTCAAAACTGGAAAAATTTCAGCCTAATCTGGTGGGCTTTGAAGAACTTAACACTGAAGTTGACAGATGATAATTATTGGTAGAGATTCACAAGGATCATTGTGGTAAACAAGCTGTTGAAAATCAGCTTTATGGTAAAAAAAAAACCATTATGATTTATGGTCTTTTTTTTTTTAGTTTGAACCAGGAAAATTTCTGCTGTGTCAAAATATATATTTTTTCCATTCTGTATAATTAGTATTATGAATTTCAGGAAAAACATGTACAATTTGGTGAGTACATGTGAGATATATGTGTATGTATATATATTGTCCATAGCTAAACCGTTAGTTGTTGCTCTTATGTAAAACTATAAATTAGGAGTTTATATTACATATTTACTGATTCAAACATTTTTTTAATTTTCTGTTTTTTTACATGTCTAYATTTCACTGTAGTTTTTGAATCGTTCCACTTCAACAGCTCTTTCACTCAGCCTTGCACCCTGCATTGGATTTCTGCTTTAGTTGGTTTCATGTGAACTGTCATTTTGTTTTTGTAAGGTTTTTTTTTTTGGTTGTCGAGAGAAAGTGCTTAGAAGAAATGCAATTATATAAAAAAAATAAGTGTCTATAATTTCAACATTCAAAACTTTATGTAGAAATCTAGTTATTTCTATTGGAAACCGTGAATGTAAAATCAAGCAAAAAGGTAGCACTAAAAATGTTTTCGCCATTGTTTTAACAAAAAAAAAAAAGTTATACCAAACCTACCCACCAGCACCAATTAAAATGTAGCTTATGTTGATGGAAACAAAATTATTTTTAGGTTAACAAACTTTGAAGACTTAAGGAAAAGGTTGCTGAAATGCAACCAATATTGCAATTTACATATGGCTGAAACACATTTATTACAACTCAACTAGTTTAAAAAAATTATAAATGTGAACATCCTTTCTGGCAGCAGAATTTCTGTTAGATGCTGAAAAGTCAAGACAATCCAACCAATGAAGTATTTTGATTTTAATCAAAGTAGTGCACTAAATAAAAGCAACTCCTTAGAGAAAAACAAGATATCAGGTGGACATAGTTTTCCAGAACTTTGTGTCTTGTCTGAGAATTTCACTGCAAACGTTTTGAAGAAGTCTCATCGGCTTCATTTACAAAAAGAAAATTCATTCCAGAACACAGAYGATCAACCACAAATCAATCAAAGCAGACAGCCTAAGCATCACAAATAAGAACAAAAACTACTCAGATGATTTCAGCAAATACCAATGTCTCCTGGCATTTCAGACGGAGTTGTATTACAGCCAAGGTAAAAAACAGAAACAGGTGGAAATTCAGAAATTTTTGTTCAAGTACAGGTTGAAACCAAGCAAGCTGAAAAAAAAAAAAAAGATATCTGAGGTTTTGTGGGGCCATGACTTAGTGCCGTGAGAGCAAAACAAACTTTGAGGCCACTACTGACCACAAGTGCGTCAGTCCGTTTGCAGCGATTATTGTGAAAGCCTTGGACTCTGAAAACTCAGCAGAACGCACTGAGAGAGCCAAGGTGACTGAAGCTTTAAAGCAAAACAGTGAAACTCCTAAAACAAAGAACCATATTGACTGAGTTTTAACTATGAGATTTAAAACCACAGAAAATATAGGAATGACACGCAACAATGACCCAACCTAACACACTTACAATAACAGATTTAAAGAAAAGCTACAAAACTTACATGTTAAAGACTTGGTCCCCGACTTGTGGTACTTTAACACTATAGAATTTATGTTTAGCACAGGAGTTAAAATGTGATGATCGTTAAAATAATGTTTATCTAAAAAGCAAAGTGCCTTTATGTTTGTTACTGGAATTTTTAGTCATATCTTTAGTAGTTGTCCATTGAATGTTTTGGACATTACCATTAGACACCCTCATTCAAGGATGGCTTTGCTAAGGAGGATCAGGCCCTTAGCTTATTGTGTTTGTTGAAGGGGTAAGGATATATATATATATATTTTTTTTTGGTTAGAATGGTCTTTCGAGTAGAATTTTTAGTTACATCCACAGTAGTTGACCATTGGGTGTTTTGGTCATTACCATTAGACACCCTCATTCCAAGGACGATCAGGCCCTTAGCCTTTTGTGTTTGTTGAAGGGGTAAGGATTGTGTTTTTGGTTACAAATGGTCTTTTGAGTAGAATTTTTAGTCACATCCTCAGTAGTTGATCATGGGGGTTTTGGTCATTAACATTAGACACATCCAAGGATGGCCCAGCTGAGAACAATCAGGCCCATAGCATTTTGTGTTTCTTAAAGGGGTAAGGATTGTTTGTTTTTGTTTTTTTTTTTTTTTTGGTTGGAATTGGACTATCAAGTAGAATTTTTAGTCACATCCTCAGTAGTTTACTATTGGGGGTTTTGGTCATTACTATTAGACACCCTCATCAGCCCTTTAGCCTACTCTGTTTGTTGAAGGGGTAACGTTTGTTTGTTTTTATTTTTTTGGTTAGAATTGAATGTTCAAGTAGATTTGTGGGTTTCCTTGCTTATGTCAGATAATTGATCTGTAAAAAATGTTTCAGGCCAAGCTGAAAAACTGGCTGCTGGTACTGGGAGATCACAGAATTTTATGAGGTGGTGCTTATTATAAAAAAGTTAAACAACCACTGAGTTAGAGCACATGGATGTTTGTTGTCATTGTAAAGCCAGGAATATCTCATTTCATTGGTTTTTTTTTTGTGATTTCAGTGGATCTCATTAGAAAGGATCTTTGAAGGTTTGTTGGCAACAAACACAGATGTACACGGAATGAAACTTGGCCAACATGCAGCAGGAGTAAACTTCTGCTTATTTGGAGACAAAAACCTACACTGTTTATTAGGCCCCCTTTCTGTGAGTCAGGCCAGGGGAATGCACGCTAGCAGCAAAAGCAGGTGAAGGTATGATGTTGTCCAACAATATGTGTTTAGTGAGGATTTAAGGGTATACGTGTGTGTACAATGATAGGGTCATGTTTTAATTAGTTTGTTTTCGATGAGTTTCCTTGTCTTACCTCAGGTCTCAACATGACTGCATTTACTTAACACACACACACACACACACACACACACACACACACACACACACACACACAC